CCTGCCACAGAAGATAATCCCATATCGGCGCCTTGCTTCAGAGCTAACACAGACTTGTATCCGGCAGACAGAGCAGACATATGATGAAAGAAAGCCTCTTTTTCAACTTGAACGCTGAATTTATTGATTCCGTATTCCTTAAAAAGTGCACTAACCTGGGAAAAACGAGGATATAATTCACTTGGATTTACAGAATACAACTCAAGGGACTGACAATGATAAGCGACTATTCACAAAGTGGAGGTAAATACCCGACTTTCTCTTCGCTTTTGGTTGAGCTGAAAAGTTATCCTAGTTTAAACCAAACCATCCTTGACAAACACAACGTCAGTAAGACTGCTTTTGTTGAAAAACGCCAACAAATGAACAATACTCTCCGAACACCGGACAACATGAGAAAAATTAATGTCAAAAAAAGACGTCATAAAGTAAAACTGCTAACAAGTAAAATTTAATACGAAAAATAGACTAAAATTTACCGGACAATTTTTATGGGAAAACTATGTAAAGCATCGCTTGGTTAATTCAAAAACTATCCGTCAAATTACTCCCCGAACTGAACTCCACTCAAATGTATCAAACATTATGCCTACCAAGAAAGCGAATTAAAAATTCAACCTTACTCCTTAAGTTACCTTCCCCTTGTAGTAATCTAACATAGAAACGAAAAAGCGAGAACCTTATGTATCACGCCGGACCAACCTGTTGAATAATTCTCTGTTCATTTGCTGAGGGTGCTACCTGCACATGAATAGCACCGACAATTGCGTCAGATGAGTGTCTCCAGAAATGAGGATCCCGGTATGACAAAACGCCATCCAGTGATAAAATCTAACAGAAAACAAAGCATGAATCCGTCTGGTTAGAAAGGAAAAACAGAGGAGTGAAGACTAAAAATAAGTTTAACCAATCACAGTTTGTTTGCACACTTGTTCACCACTGATATCGGATCAGTTTACAAAGTCCATTTTTGAGCTCACTGTTTTTCTGAAATCTCTAGGACTCTATTGGGAGTTTGAATCTTTCAATCTTTCTGATGTTGTGAGATTGAGCAAGACACTACAATCTTACAGTGCTTCAGAAGGTAAAAGCTCTCTTCAAGACTTTATATCTTTTTTGCTTAGCCTGCGATAACAGGTGATGCAGTTCGATTCTTATAGGAACGCGAGGCGTACGAGTCAAAAGATTCGGCAACTGGACGTGTCTTTATCGCGCGCGTCCAGCGCTCTAACGAAAAACCCCATGCGGGGGGGAGGGNGTGTACCAAAGACACAACATGGTATTGAGAAAATTATCCACTGTCCAAGAAAAAAGTTCTCATAATAATATTCTTCTTCTGCATTTGATGTGACAGTAAAAGGCAGTAGAATCCCATGGGGGGGGGGGGGGGGGGGGAGGGGTACTCCCCAAGTTTTTGGTGGGGGTGTGCGGCCCGAACTTCGAAACCTGGACCCAATTTCAGCCAAAATCTGTGATTGTCCATACCCTATTTCAGCCCTGAGCGAAAAATCGATACCCCATAACACACCTCTAAAATTAGTACACGACTCTTATATATGACTGCAGCTTACCAGAACTGGCTTTCATTTACGTGCACATTTGAGAAGGGTTACAAATTTGCAAATGTTGATGCGGAAAAAAATTGTTCCTTGTAAACAAAAAACTCATTGCCAAGATAATCTATTTCAGACCAAAATGGTCAAAATCTATGCCCTTTTTCACACCAAAACCGCTCATAAACCATACCCTTCAGGGTTGCACCTATACATGTATAACCCAAATAAGGGATTACCCTCGGGCAAGAAACCTCAAAACTGTCTGTTGGTTATTTAATACAACGAAGAGACTTTCTCTTTAACAGAAGCTAACCTTATTAAAAGTGCTTCCTAATGTTTTCTCTAAGTCAGTAGGTGTTCTAAGTAGTAACACTTGAGAGGACTCCTGAAGCAATGGAAGAACACTAAGAAAGATTAAAACAGCGATGAATAACGAACACAGCGGATCAGCGATGAAGAATCCAAAGTGTTCGATCAGTATAGATGATACTATGACTCCTACACTGCCCATGGTATCAGCCACAACATGTAGAAAAACTCCTGAAAAAAAAAAAAACATCACGTCAACACAACCCGAAGATGTGTGCTCGTTGGTAAGTATGTCGTGTAACGGTCGTATAGTGTTTTGCCATACCCACATACAGCGGCCCAGTTGTTCAAAGTGTAGATAACGAGCTATCCAATGGAGAAATCGCTATCCAGTGGATAAGTCAGTGTTGGAAAACAAACTATGTTATTCACTGGACAGTGATTCATCCAAGGGATAGCGTTATGCACCCTTTGAACAGCTGGGGCTTTACTACGTCCGCTAAGTTTCGGCATGGTTGTTGTTAATCAAAATCGAAAACTGTTCACACACTTCTACGACAGTGCTTATCATTGTGACCATTTTATAGTTTTCGTTTGACAGTCGAATTAAGAGATTAATCGTATCTATAACAAAATTCTCGATCGTGAGTGGTTCTCCGCGCGCCTTTCTGTTACGTAATCGGCGCGCGATCACGTGGGTGTCCAATTACAGGTATCCAATTTGAACCTTTTGTAATTGTATACCTGTAATCGGATACCCACGTGATTCGCACGTCAATTACACGCGCTTTAATGGCTTCCTTCGCAATGTTTCCTATAGTTTTCAAATCTTATGAAAAGCGAAACAGACGTTTTCGCTCAAAACAAGTTCTCAAAAGACATTTTTAATTCCGAAATTTGTTATAGATACGATTAATTAGTAATTGGACCTTGTGTCGTACAATTCAGAGGGTAATCGTGCTCCTAATTTCAAATAGGCCTCGCACTTCACGCTCGTCCGATTTTGAAATTACTCGCGCGATTACTCCCTGAATTGTACTCCACTCGGTCCAATTACTATTACTAAGTCATGGACGACGCGTTTTGAAAATTCTCATCACAAGGTTTCTCGTTCTTAATCCGTCTCAGCCGTCCCGAGTCTTTAATCATCCTTTGATCTTATTGGTTCAAGTGCGGGTGACACCACTCGCATATTGGTGCATTGACAGACCGTGCGTCACTGTTTTGTTCTTACCGCATTTTGACGTCATCTGTGATCTATTACTGAACAGACGCACAGCAACATGAAATCTACTTGTTTTATATAATGAATAAACATCTAGACATCTGTCCTCCAATAGATAATAGGTAAGAACCAATCAAAGTGCGAGAATAATTTGACCTAAACTATAATAATTCTTACCTTGCATGTTCACACTGCGATCGTGGTGATCATCATGGGCGTGGCCGTGTCCATGACTGTGACCATGGTGACTGTGACCATGGCTACCGTGACCGTGCGAGCTACCACCGTGTGAGTGCGCATGTCTGAAGGCAAAGATACCCACTAAGTTCACCAGAAGGCCTCCAACAGACACGACCTGAAAACGGAAAATAAAAAATGCTCAAGCAGGCATGGGACAGCTACAAACTTTGCCTAAAGTTCATCGTTTGATTAACATGTTTATTGAATCAATATAATTTGGTATAGAGTAGTTTTTTTATGGGTCGTAAAACTAGAACCAATTTGAAAGCACATGTAATCACAACAGTACTCCATACTGATAGGCTATTGTAATCAACCAATCAGAATTGAACCTTGCGCAACGCGCACAAAGGCGAGAAAAATCACGTGGCCCACTTGACTGTTTTAGATTTGCCCCTGATTGGCAGAGAAAATAAAACCTTCAATCTGGTTGGTTACCTCACGCTACACAAGTTTTACGAATCAATTACCGGCTTTGTAAACACAAAACATTAACTGCACTTACTAATAATCGGTTAGTGTTGACTTTTGGAGGATCAAACAAGCGTTGAATGGCAGCCAGGAAAACAAAGAAGGAAATTACCACCAAGAAAATACCATTCACAAAGCCTGATAAAATCTCCACGCGGCCATAACTGTAAAAAGAAACTAACGATTAACAACAAAAGTAACATGACTTACATATAAAAAATTGCTATAGTTCCAGTTCATATCACAAAATGTCCACCGTATGAAAGTACTTCCCTGCAGCTTTTAAATGACTGGTCACACACCAAGCTTTTATTCGCGGACTTAAACTGACTTAAACTGTACAGTATAACGAACATTACCATACGACATTTCTGCTTAATAGCTCTCAACTAAATGGTCACACACAAGGGTTTTATCCACTGATTTTAAAGTTAGAACCACCTTGAACAGCATTACAAACAGTACTACGTAAAAGCACTGATCAATAGCTGTTTTCATTGGTCAGACACTTAAAAGTTTCATCCAGAGACACAAAAAGTTGGAGTTTTAATTGATCCAGTGACGAAAGGGCTACAAAATGAGAAATAAATGGCGATCAAGTAACTTGAACAGACCCATAAGAAAATGTTCTGGAAGCCTTCCATCTGGCCATGAGAGCTGCACAGAGTCCGATCACGAGCGCAGTACAGTCAAATAGCATGTGAAAACCATCAGAGATGAGGCCAAGGCTATTGGTCCAGACACCATAGAGCAGCTCGATACCTGTGAAAAGCTGAAATAACAACAGACAGGCTATTTATGATATGACAAATAAATGACATTCTTCACTTGCCGCATGCTTATAACACTCCAGCCTGCAATCAGAGGCCCCATCCATATGCCTGATCAGAGCTTTAACATATAAGATGGTATGTATGCATGTAGTATCCTTTGCGGCTGTTAAAGGGTTGTCACGCAATGCTTACCCCACTAAGGGAGAAGCATTGCATGACGACCCTAATAACGGCTGCGAAGGTGACTAGTATGCATGATGCTTTGTAGTTTCTTGCTTTAGCTCAGTAAAAATGTTTGTGTAAGAAAACCATGTTAAAGAGTCACTGCACTTAATTAACAATAAAAATCTGGCATTGAAAAAAAAAAAGAAGTTGAGGTTTGTAAGGTAACCCAAAAAGCAAATGAAATCAAAGGAAAATTTTCGGAGACATTTTAAGCTAACACACGAAGTCCAGCAATACAAAGTAACTTGCAGAATTTACTACCTACCAGATTGAGGCACAAGAAATAGAAAATCTGCCTGGATTCTGACTGCTCCACAATCTGCCTCAAAAGACTTTGTACCGTTGTTAACACGGACTGTGGAGTCTGGAAGTTATAGATTGGCAGGCCACCAGTAGTGTAGCCAATCAGATTTCCTTTAGTCATACGAGGTGATGGTCTTGACAACAACCTTGTGGCTGGTAAAACACAACAATCAACACCAACAATCTTGTGAGATCAGTTTTCTAAAAATTATAAAAGTCACATGACGGTCCAAACTTTCTGTAAGGCCAGTAAGAGACAGTTAGGATCCTCAAAGCAAGATGCAAGCAGATGAAAGCCTTGAATATTGGGCACAAACTCTCAAACCAGTTCATTACCACGACAAACATCCAAAAGAAACAAGAATAACTTTCACAATAAGCACTCTTCTCTATTGCTACTGTCAGGGGGTTGCTACTTTCTGGTAACTAAAATGTGTATCATTGATGGACTTATCAATTAGAAAAAAGGAAAAAACTCTAGTACGAATTTGAGGAAGAAATCAGTGGTCATTTCATACAAATTTAATATAGACATAAACATCACAAAGCTTGTTGAAAATGTGAATAATATATTGCCTTTAGAATAACAGTCATTTGGTACAGCTGGCACAGATTGTCACATCTGTAATTTCCATACATGTTTCTATTGTTTCTTTTTCTTTTCTTAGGTCAGTACTTTTGGATTGCTGTTCTTTTGTGGGGCTCACTCCCTTCAGGTTTTCCTAACCTTAACCTTGCTAACCATGTTCTACCAAGTGGTCATTACTTTAGGACTTTATTACACAATGTTTCCTTGTAAGCAGGAGAAATAAAAAAAAAAGAACAACAATACCTACCCAGCACAAAGAAGAAAGCACTGAAAAATGTTCCCGCAGATACCAGATGTGGGTCTGATGGTTTGCCATGATGCCATTCATGCATGCTCCATGCCCAGGGTTTATCCCACAACAATGCAATAACCATGGCAGATAAAAATGAGGCTATGGAGCCTATCTTGCCTGTCCTCGGTGACTCAAGTTTTGCCAAACAGAAGGACTCAATGTAAAAGTCAAAGATAAACACAAGGAAAATAACTACAGCCAAAGGGATCAATGCTTCAAGCAAGTCAATGTCCGTTGTCTGTGTATGTACAAATGAGAAAAAACTAATACAATTAATTTCATGGTGTTCATGGTAAACTTTGTGTCTGGTCTTCAATTCTTTAACAAAGTGCTTTTGGAGAGAATGGTACACTCAGCTAAAAGGGAGCACCTAATAACCCCAACAATACTAGTATGTAGGTTCACCCTAGGTAGGAAGGTTGACAAAGGTAGATTCACATTAGGTTCATAACTTCTAATACATAGAAAGTACTTTGAATAGATGAATGGATGGCAAGTGCGTCTACCTGAACCAAAACCAAAGAGGAAGCAGGTGATTTGACAGTATTAGGCTTCATATCACCATCACCATTAACATTTCCCATGTTGTTTAGCTGTACATAATGCATCTCTGATAATGTGAAGAGTTTCAAGGCAGTTTCAGACTGTATTAACATACCTGAGTAAAATATGATAACAAAGCAAGTGGAAGCAGAAACACGGTAGATATACAACTGGAAAGTGCAGCAAGTCTCTTTCCACCTAGTGACCCAAAACAAAAACTGACTTGATAAACTACCTGATAAATGGTTAGGAACTGTGCACTCTTGCATCAAAATCAATTTAGTGTTATTAATAAATCAAATTATTTAAGTCAAAATGTGGGATGAGATATACCAATGATAAATGATAGAAAATCCACAGGTATAACCCCCTCCCCCCAAATCTGTACCCCATATGGACTGCCATCTGGGACTTAACCTTATGTCTATCCCTGAAAACTACTCCTGACCCTACACGGATCCACATGGGGTCTAAACAGTGTTCAGATGAAGGGAGTCCAAGAGGAACAACACACAACATCTCTTTGGAGCATGGCTTCGGGATTCAGCTTTGCAATCATAGTTAAAAGCCTTGCTGGAAGTACCACCTGAATAATTGTCTCACCTCCAACTTCAACTGCTAGGGTTCTTGAAACATTCTTGTGAGCAATTTTAAATAAAAGAACAAGAACTAGCAGAATAAGTCCACCCTGAAAACGGCAAATAAAGTAACATTAACTATTGGTATGGAAATACAAACTAAGATCACAAAAATGGTGGGAGATTTTATCTTCTGTAGTGTAATAAAATGTTGAGAGTAGCAATTGATAGAAGTGGTACTTAAAGTGCCCATGAAGTAAAAAATAATTGCTGCTTATATGAAAGGCTTTTCAAAGTAAAGAAGAACGGCATTTTCCTTTTTGGAATATCTTTTTTCATTTTAGAGATATTCACGTTTTTGTATTATGCAAATGAGGAAAGTGATAACGTCATAGGTGGTTCCTCTGAAACAGCACAACACTCAATCGAGAATAACTCTAGAAATATTAAAGCAATGTTCATCAAACTTGGCACCAGAAATGTACATCACAAAAGAAACAGAATGACATCTACTATGCTGTTGCCATGGCAACACTCTTGGCCCCAGTCTCTTTCTGTGAAAAACCAAATATCCCCATTTGCAACCTTTTTTAAGTGGGACAGAGGGTCTTGCTCAGAACACACATGGTTCCCATATTGTCTTAACTCTCCCCATTAGATTGGTGGGAGTGGATTATCCTTGTTTAAGATAAAATCTGGGAATTTTAGTCTTAATTAAAACAGAACCAGCGGCATAACTGTTGACACGGCAATGGCATGACGGGTGTCATTATGTTTCTTTTGTGATGTACATTTCTGGTGTCAAGTTTAAAGAACACTGCTTTAATATTTCTAGAGTTATTCTCAATTGAGTGTTGTGCTGTTTTAGTGGAACCACCTACAACACCAACACTTTCCTTACAAAAACGTAAATATCTCTCAAACGAAAAAAGATATTCCAAAAAGGAAAACGCCATTCTTCTTTACCTTGAAAAGCCTTTCAAATAAGCAGCAATTATTTTTTACTTCATAGGCACTTTAAAACTTGTGTAAATTTATGATGGGCAAAACTTAACTTAACTTTTTCTCTTAATATAATTTTGTAATACATATGACTGGTTTTAAGCTTAGTTTATTATTGATTGTAAAGTGATGCGTGTGCTGTGCCTGATCTTTTAATAAAGACTTTTCACTCATAAAGACTTTTTCAATGATGTCTCTATCATGTGGGATGGAATGTAAATGAGGGATGTTTGTTCTGGTAGGCTATTAATACAAGACTTATTTAACAACATTACCTTGTGGTCAGGCAACCCAAGCCAAGATAATCCCAAGTAATACCAGTGAATCCACTGGCTTTTATGATGACCCTCCGCTGACAGGATGTTAAGTAAAATCAAGTCAAATATATAGATTTGGCCAAGCCTAAAAGCAGAGCTCCCATAAAATATTATAATCATCCACGCAACACAATAACCTTTAAAGAAATTCGTCAAACCAAATGAAATTAACAAAAAATCAAGTATAATAATTATTTGCACTAAAGCATAATTTGAATATTATTTTTGTCAGCAGCTCTGCAATCATTTCATCAGTCGTAGCCTTACCAGGCCTTAAAAGAAATTCACCCAAAAAATTGAACAAACAAAACAAGGAAATCTCCATACTTTGTAAACACAATATGCAAATCACCATAACCAAGCATCATATATATTACGTCCTGTTCGCTTTCAAAGCATAAATGGTTTCTTGGTTTTCAACCATAACAGAGGAAGAAATTTTGGCAGTCTATGAAGCAGCTGTCCATACTAAAACAAAGAAAACTTCAAAACTCGCCTGACAGTATCTACAAAATTAATACTGTAACAGTTTTATCTAAATTGTAGAATTATTTTACTTTTCACATGTAAGGATACGGTGACTCAAACTTGGAGAATCATTATCAAACAACAGAAGGCACAAAATTCCTAAGAGAAATAACACAGATCCTCGGACCTAAAAGATTTATAACACAAATACACATAGTAAGTTAGAACAGAATCTACCAAACAAATACAGAAGAGGGTAATAAAAAACTGAATAACAATTTGACTCATTGTTGGCAAACTTAACAATTTGATGGGTTGCACAGGCACTTTCTATCTATGAAGTACAAGACTGTATAATATATAAGATAGAGTTAACAGAGCTGAGTAAGAGAGCATAATTCACTGAAATTACCTTTGATGGGCCAGTGCCACCAGAATGAAAAAGTACTCCTAATGCTGCCAACACCACCACATCACTGTGCTCAAATAACAAAACAGTTCTGTAAAAAAAGTAACAAAGATATTCAACTGACAGGTCATCAAACTTCCAAACAAATTACAGAATGTCACAAGAAAAAACTACTCTTAATGAAGATATATGCAAGTCTGCCACACAGTTTTTCAGGCATGTCACTTGCCGAAACAGGTTATGTATACGTCTTACAGTGCAACTGTCATGCAATAATCTGCAGTTGAAGGTGACAGTCACTTACATGCTGATAATATCTTTTGAACCCTTTCAAAATATCAATTCTCCTTTAGTCAGTGAGTTCCATAGATTTCTTTTTATATCAGTTCTAAAAATTTGTGGTACATCAAGACAACATCAGTTAGTTGACGATTTTCTTAATTTATGTTACCTGCCGCTTGGTTTCCTATTGGTGATGTAAAAAGTAATTGCATTTTCATCACTTTGGAAGTTAAAGGGATAAACTGAAAAAATGAGGGGGGCAGTCAAAACTACAGTCTGTATTATAATTTTAGTGGCAGTTTGAAGCTTTATGCTACCCATGCAAGACTAGATTATAAATTTACTTCTTACCTCAAAGCACCACAGAGTGTTAGACCTTCAAGCCATATCAGGCCTATTACTGTTGACACTAAAGCATGCTTGCCAATTTTGTACCACTGGAAAAAAATGGAAATAAAAAGGAATTACTATACTTAATCATACAAAGACTACCACTGACAATAATGCAAGTATCAAAAGCGTACCTGATTTGGAGTAATTTTCTTTCCTGATGATACAGGCCTTTGTAATATTACAAGAACGATAGTTGTGCTGCAAAAAAAGGCATTTGAAACAACATTCAACTCGCTGAAACAAATTCCAATACTAAGCTGACATGTAACTTTAAAAATATTGCATTCTTGGTATTTTATTATGTCAAATAAATCAGTAGTTGTTAGTGGCAGATCCAAACTTGGATAAGAGATGGGGTTCTAGATTAAGACAGTGCATGTCCAGATTGAAAGAGTACCTACAGGAATGATAAGTTGTTTCATTCTACTCATTGGGCTGAGGGACTGGGATTGATGATCTATCAATTCTCTATCAATATACCTGAAGCAATGTATTGAAATTTTATGACTGAACAAAACATTTCTACAATTTTTAAGTTGTCACCTGCACTTTGGAAGGTCCTAAGAAAAGGGTACCATTATAAAGAAAATATAGTCTAGAGACTCCAAATTATAAGGGTGCAGGCCAGTGGTCAATGATCACAAAAAGGTAAGTTAAAAATGGAGTATTTATGTAGGTCAAAAACTGTGGTTACTTACTGATGGGACAATACCATATTAATCAGTTTAGAAAAATATGTAGCTTAATGGTTAAAGTTTTAAAATAAACACAATCTGGACTTAACATACCAAAGCTTGACAATAAATAGGAACTGGACAACATGGAAGATTTTAAGCTGCTCATAAGTCACAAATAAACCAAAGGTATGTAGAAATTTGGCAATCACCAGTGCAATCACATATGGTGTGGTCCTGTAAAACACAAAGGGCAAAAATAAACCATCTTCACAATATTGGGAGGGACAGTGGCATAATGATTAGTGCATTGAACCTGGGATCAAGTGTTCTAGGTTTGCACCCTGGTCACAGTCAGTGAATTGTGTTATTGGGCAAGACAATTAACTATCAAAGTGCCTCTCTCTACCCAGGTGTATACCAGTAAATGGATACTTGTGAATTTAGTGCTGGGGGAAAGTCTGTGATGGACCAGCCTCCATCCAGGAGGGTAGAAATATTCATAGTCACAGGAAAAGCTCTGGAAATATGAACCACTTTGCCTGATACAGAATAAACTTTTTTTTACAACTAACAAACAATTGAACTAAAAGTCCCATCCTAACAGACACAGAGTTAAGCCATAACAATAGAACAATAATTCCAAAACACTACCAAATAAGTTAACAAATGTTGAAGAATGCTACTGTAATACTTGAATCTTTTCATACTGCCAAGACCCAAGGGAAACAGTAAGATTTGTTTCCTTGAGACCCTCAATGTTCCCAGAGAGAAGCTACGGGAAAACATTGAGGTTCAAGGGGAAACAAACCTCACAGTTTCCCTTGAGGCCAGTCATTAAGTGTTTGTTATACCTTCCAACTCAAAAATGAAACTAACTGCAAAAAAAAATATCCTTGACGCCATCTGACACACAAATTTGCCAAGGTTTGATCTGATCACAAGCACATTAAAATTTTCAGTTGTTGTTTCCCTAGGAAGTTAGTGAGTTTTGCTTCCCATAGGGAGTTAGTGAGTTTTGACCCATGACAGGACATGTTCTCCTCCAATCAGAAAGCATATTTGAGTTGGTAGGTATAACAACATGCCATGTTTCTAGAATTTTTGATGTGTTTCTTGCAGCCTGCATGACTGACTTGTATTGATAATTTTAAGCAGAGCCGTTTTAAAACTAAGCTTACATCTACTACCAGAAGGGTTGGTTTGTTTTGTTCATTTGGTCCATAGCAGGCCAAACGAGGCAACTGAACAACCAAATACATTGATCCAAAACTTACATGTCTCATTCATTCCTTTTAAACTGAATGTGGTGCCGCTCCTCACTGATGTTTACAAAAGAAAACTCTTTTTAATTCCGACTTAAACACCTGTTTGTATGTAGGCATAAACCTAATTCATCAATTCAGGTCAATTCAATAGTGTAGCTATACCACAGTCCACATGACGTGCACTGTACGGTGTGTTTGTGCAGAGAGGCTTCTTGAATATCCTTTAACAGCGATCTCGTTAAAAAAAAAAAAAGCAAGATCGCTTAGTATCACTATGCATGTACATTTGGTGAAACGCAATCATCAATATTGCCGATGGCCTCTGTACATGTAAGCTTGCTATCACATTCGGTTCTTCGATTCATGGTGTGGAATGTTCTGCATAAACACGTTTGATGTGTTCTTAAGGAGATCTTGTAATAAACTAAAAATAAGGCTAGGAATCTTACACTGTGTATTGGCCGATTGGTCCCAGCTGACGTTTGTTAAAAAGCAAATTGTCTGAATACATCTCAAGATCCTCCATCTTTGAACGGAAGCATGAGCTGGCAACACAAATGGTAGCAACCGCTGGCCAGATGGTCTTCGGGCGCGAATACACACAGCCTCGTCTGTTCCTTTTCCTGACCCTTCCAAACCTTTCATACATGACATATATGATCCACTGGGCTAGAAGCCGCTTCGTCAGACGTCCGTTACCCTGGAAAATTCAATACTTAGCACTAGACTTCAGTGGGCGCGTTTCGCTTTGTGCGATTAAGGATTGAATCGTTACAGAAATGATAACCGGTACACCGTACAACAGCCAAACTTTTCTAAAAGCAAAAATGACCAATGTTTCCGCTAAAGAGCAAGACTGGGAAGCAATTGAGTAAATATACACTCCGTCACTTTTTTCTTTGTCACTTTGACTGTTTTTTTTTTTTTTTTGTTTTTTTTTTTGTCTCGTTAGACTCACAGATCAAATACTTACTGATCGATTGAACGGTCGTGAGCGGAAAGGTTTTTTTTTTACTTCTCTTTTTTAGAAATGCTGTTTAATGAAACGAGGGCAAGGGGCAAGGTCAAAAAAGTCTCGAACCTTACACTGAGTCCCGGCAGTGATTGGATGCTTCTGAGAAAAGCGGGAAGAAATGCCGTAAAAGGTTTCGACTGCCGGTCTATTAATTTTGGCAAGTTGTTATCACTCAAGATTGTGAAGTCGAAAAGCTGGTAAGAAGTGAAAAAGGTAATTAAAATAGCCAACGGCTGAACAATCCAATTAAGTCAACTTTTATTTCACACTATTCACTCAAAAAATAAATAAGCGGAAAAAGGTTTCACAAAAGGTAGCCCTAAGTAAACGGCAACATAGAAATTGTGACAGCCGACGTTTTTAGTTGCCTTATCTTTACACACCTTTCCAAATAGCAATACTTTTAGTAAGACGAAAGAATGCCGCGGTGGATATAAAGCTCATGTTGTCACTCTCCAATTCTGCTGTCACTAAACATTCGTTTCTTTTCCACCTTGACCTTAGACGTTAAACCAAAAAAGCATTGTACTAAAGAAAACTTTACATAAGATGGTTTTATATAAATTACCGACCGGAATAGAAGCATTTGTATGGTAACTGGGTATAGCATTTGTGAGGATCAATCAGGGGCACCCAATGGATCGTTTCGGTAAATTATCTGTTCGGAAGGCCTTTAATCCCCTCTGATTTTCTTAAGAGAATCGTTACCTCGAACTTTCGTGATATGAGAAATTTAATGTCTGTTGTTTTCGGATTGTTAAAAATGTCGTTTTGGGTACCGAAAAAACGTCAGCTATTATTTTCGGAAAGGCGATAAGACCTAAGGTTTTCGGGAAATGGACAAAAAAGCCCTAATAAATTCTAGAATACTCAAGTTCCCCTAGAAAAACCGAATAGATAATTTTTTTTTTTTAGCGCAACCTAAAATTAACCTACAGAGCTTTAAAAGTACTCCAGATAGCCGTAATACAGCGTTCAAAAGCGTTTGAGAGTAAACGGTCGTTGGGTGCCCCTGGTTCAATTACACACGAAATTCAGTCATTGGTTCGAATTGGTTGTCTGTGGAAAATTGATGGTGGTGTGTCTTCCATCTTGCTAGTTAAACCGACAACACAAAGTGCTAGATGGAGAATTTCCATTATTTTAGATGGTTGTAAATAGGGTCACAGACCGGTGAAGAAGCATTTATGAGGGTAATAATAATACGAATGAAAGCTCTGAGCCATTGATTGTCTGATGGTGGTTTACCTTCCATTAATTAAGCTGTTCTTATGTACGCATTCTTTGCGTGCCATGTTGAATGCATTTGTTATTTTCAGCATCAGCCTCCACCTTGGTTTACCGCAGTTTTTTTACAGCTAACTTTACCAACCAGGAGTATGTTCATGCGTCAAGCGCACATGGCTAGAATTGATACTGATGATATACTGACAACGTCATAGAAATTTTCCTGTCACGCATTTGTACCACATCAACCACTGAAACTCACACAGTTAAAACGAACAAAGTTATTTATATAAATACTCTCCCAGTGATGATGAAAAGATCAAAAGCACTATATCGGGGTGTTATTTCGATCAAAAGGGAGATCATTCTCTTTGTGTTTCAGTGCGTTTCTACCCTATATCGACATTTTTACTGGACAGTGTTCCTGAGTAATTCTAGCATGTATTGTTTACTATTGCATATTTCAGGACATTATTCCATACGCACGCAAGCTGCCTATCCTTGCTCTGATCTACAGAAAAACCCACTTATGTGATAAGCTGGAAAACAGCGTAAAAATTGACCACTTCTTCTGCGTCAATAAAAATGATTCGGTCAGAATTGAGGAAACTCCTGCAGCTGTTTGGCCGATCTTATTCGAGGTAAAAACCACAATCTCGACCAATCTCGCGCTACAAAGAATTTGCGAAAACAAAATCTTTCCATTGGGTTTTCCAAACTGAGAGAAAATATAACTGAATTAACTTTAAGACATAATGATTTGTCTAGATTTTTGAAAACAGTTACTCGCTCTCCAAAAGAACAAGAAGTATTTGACTGTTTCAGGCACTCTTACTCGCTCGCGTTTGGCTTTTTCTCGTTCTTACGTCAGAAGCTGTGATTGGTTAATCGGTGATAAAGATCAATTGATTATAACAGTAAATGACAGGTGCCAGTCGCACGACAGATGACCTCCGCAACTAACCAAACATCCGTTGACGTTAATAATAAATAGGCAGAGTTTTCCATCGACTCTCGGTCAGAGTTTCTCCACGAAAAAGTTCGGAGCGATGCGATGTTTCGAGTTGTACGGGCTTTGGGCCTCGCCAAGATAGTAATATGTGTTTTCATCACAGCGTGGCCCAAACAGACATCAGTGGTCTTTGCCCAACGGCTCGATAGCAAAGGAGAAAAAGTCTTCACCAACGAATGGGCGATACGGGTGGAGGGAGGCATCGAGACCGCCAAACGAATAGCCAGATCTCATGGATTTGACAAAGTTGAACCGGTAAGTCTTGAGTAAAGAATGGATCGCATGGGGTTTTTGCGGGCATGTTCTGGGGACTTAACAAGTACTTGCCGGTCTTTTTTTAATATAAATTTCTAGTATAATGTTTTTTTTGGCCTGCCTAGCGCTTAAACACTGGCCACCCGGCAGGTCAGACAACCAACTCGGTCAACAAATCTCAATATTTTCCCAATTATCGTAAGAGGTTGTTCATAAAATTTCTTTTCTACGACATTAGCCGCCTCGCTCACTCTATTTTAATTTTACTCCGAGAAAATTACACTCTCAACCTGAAGAAATCATCAAAGATTCCCTCTCCCCACAAGTAACTGGTATTAAATATTATGAGCTGAGGGAATGATGTTTTCCACTTTAGCAGCGAATAGAACCACATGTTTCGACCTAAACTTAGTTGCACCTCCATATTAACAGCTAATTCAACTCTTTATCTTTCAAACTAGAAATAATTCAACCACCCACCGTCACTGTAAAATGAAGTTTGATATAAGACGGCGTTTTTTTCTGCCGCGGCATTTTACTGAGTCTGAATACAGCCGGTGACTTCATTACCGAATTTCGACCTAAAATCTTGACACCATTTTAAACTCAAACCCTTGATTACATGTTTTCTGAGTGTCAAAAGATCAAATAAGATTTTTTTTCAGTGGATATTTGCTTCTTTTCATACCAACAATTGTTCCCCGAATTCAGATTGTTTGTTTAAAAATAAAACAGCATTGTTTGGTGCGACGATTTCGCAGTTTTGTTATACTGACTAAAACCTCAACTTGGTCAGCTGCAAATAATTATAATGAAATTCAACTTCAAATCTGCACTTTTAAGTGAGTGAATCGATAGTCTATATATTTTTTATTTAATTTTTTTTATGAGTTCCATTTAAAGATAAGAACAGGCATCATTAGGGGGCTCTCAAAGGCAACCGCCGTAAAAAGCTGTCTGTCATGTTAAGGTTTGTCAAAAAATTACTTTTTAAAGGTGGTAATGAAAAACAAGCAATTTCGCGGGTTGTTCTGGAGATCCATGAACGTCAAAAATATTTAACTGCAAAGTAAAAATTTCCAGGCCTAACATCAGTATTTAATTTCACAAGAAATCAGCAAATCTTGCTTGTTTTCAAAAGGGTTTCACTGTGACACTGATCAAAAAACGTCCATATCTAGTAAAACGATTCATTTAATTACCAACAAAGTCCGTACAGTTAGTTAGCCAGCTAATGTATACTTTATCTCTTTTTAGATCGGTACCTTGGAGGGCTTTTATCATTTAGAACATGCAGAAGAACCACATCGCTCGAGACGAAGCGCAGAAGGGCGAACAGAAAGACTCATGCAAGACCCTAAAGTAAGAAAAAACAACCATTGTCTCTACGAAATATCTTAATGTAAAATATTCAAAAATAAGTACATGCAATGATTTTTCGGAAATCGACTCCCAAGTGAATTCTAGATAACTTTACAATGTTATCGATCGTTCTGTTTGAGGCGATGTTATTCAAATCTACGTTAGAAAAATACAGCAAGGTTATATGCAGGTTTTTGCAAAAAAGGGGCTTTTATTGTCCTTTGGTAAATCATCATATGCAAAGGGAAAACGGCAAGTACCATAAGTGTTAATAATTAGCTTAATGGGCAAAAGAGAGACTGAGTTATTTGCAGTCTAAAATTGTTTTTCAAGCGGAGCTTTTATCATGACCAATGTGATATCATGACTCAGTGCAGGTTTATAAAACAATATTATCTACTTTGCAGGTGATATGGGCGGAACAACAACACGAGAAAATCCGCGTCAAAAGGGGCCACTTTCACGACCGCATGATAGCGAGAGGCATCGTGCCTCGCTTCACGGACCCACTGTGGGATGCTCAGTGGTATCTGGTCAGTTACTATGACGTTAAAATGTCGATTATTTCACCCGTGATAAAATTAAAAATAAAGCTGATCTTACTCACAGCTGAACAAAAGCCGAGTATAATAAATATCTTGGAGGTAAATGCTACTTTTCTAACACACTGCAGTGCAGAGCAATGCTTTTAGGATGGCCAGCGAGAAGCTGAAATTGCAAACAAAAAAAATGCAACCTTGTGTGGCAAAATTATTTCACCCATTTTTTCCGTATATCGATGAACATATAAGCCGTGAAGAATGGCTATGCTGAACAAAATTGTGTGACTTGACGAGCAATTCACAGGGTCAAGGGAGAAAAGAATCTACTACATTATATTTACGATACGATACGATACTTTATTTAACGTGGAATGCGGAATTTTTATAATAACAGCTAAAAAAAATACAGATACGTTTACTAGTCTAGACATTTTTCCTTGACAAAATTCGGCTTCGAATAGCTTCCACCACTTCCTCGTGACTTGACAAGGTAGCAAAGTTAAACGTCGAGCCCACTATTGCCTCAGAAACAAATCCTTGGTTGAACATACAGGTTTTGAGCTTAAGAGAACTTAAGCAATAACGATGGCGAATCTGAGGACAACGCCTGAAAAAAATGAATTTATGTTTTACCTTCGAATTTTGCAGCTGTCTAGATCTGTTCAGTGTGTCAGTAATGGTCTCAGAACTTACTCAAGCCAAATATGCAGCGCCAGCGTTACGTTCAATTCCAAATAAAAATACGCGTTCTCCAAAAAACGCAGAACTTGTTATAATCATTTCACGTTGTTGTTGTGCAGAGGACGACAAAGAAATGTACAAAGATTTATAACGCACGCGCTCAGCTATTGTTCTGCTCATTAAACCTTTTCTTTGGTGGTATTCTCGTTGCCGTTGCCGTCGTGGTTTGTTTAAGCTCTCTAATGTTACTTACGATCTCGTAAAAGGAAACTTTTCAAGGATACAGCCAGTTCCTGGAGACCAAAATTTCATTCCCGAACAGAATAATGATAGAATCCTTGAAGATAAGGTTATCATCGTAACTACTGCGATAAAATTACATCCTTGAAAACCTTGCCCAGCGTTATCTGATTATCCTGGATGTCTTTTCGTTTTTCACTTAACAGGACGATAAGCGAGCGGATCAAGACTTGGATGTACACGTTCTTCCTGTTTGGAATCAAGGCATTACTGGAAAGGGTGTTGTTGTTACAATTCTTGACGATGGTAAGTTCACATTCAGTCTGTCTAACTGAACCTTGAAGGTACGAAATGATTCAGAGTAGCCTAGTTATGTTCTCTGACTCTTAAGCCATTAAAAGTCCGCAATCAAAGTGAATTGACAAATCTTTCGAATAGTATTCTGACCGTTACTGATTTCGTTTTTGTTTGTCTTGTTACAGGTATTGAACATAACCACACGGATCTCATCAGAAACTACGTAAGTAGGACTGAGCTATCAAGCCAACTGAGAGCAGCTCTCAGTTGGTAGAGCACTGCACCGGTATCGCACAGGTGATGGGCTCGAATCTCGTTCAATATCCTGAATTTTTTTCAGGCTTTAATTTCACAACTGCTAAGTTCTGTATATAACGGCGATGATCATTGCTGTCTTGATAACGCTCTCGGCAGTTCAAATTAATGATCTTTCTTATATTCACTTGCATTAGTGTGTAATAATTGTGGATTTCATTTTGACAGGATCCTCAAGCTAGCTGGGATGTTAATGGTGAAGACGGTGATCCGTTTCCACGTTATGATCCCACAAATGAAAACAAGTATGTCAGTTTAGACAGTCTGCACGATCTATTAATACCATGGCATACTGAACATGCATTCTGATAGGTAGACTTAAAGTGATCAAATAGTTAGAACTTCAGTTTATAGAGCGGTTAAGAACTCCGAAGAAATATCCCTCTATCATGACTTCTCTGACCTGTAAAACACCGCCCCATATAGTGCCAATCTTTTGTGTAAACGAGGGCTTGAAAACCATCAAAACTGACAAATAAAGAAAAGTAGATGAGTGCATCAGGGTAAACTAATGTTCTCGAAAGGTACACCGAAACCTTTTTCTAAAAGCTCTTTCTTCGACAACTGAAGGAACGAAGGAACAGTTGCATAAGATTTGTCATAATCTCATTAATTTGCTGTCATAATTCCCAGACAGCAATTACGGGCGGTTTCGTACCGTGACTGTTGTCCTTGTTCTGTTGTAGACACGGTACCCGCTGTGCAGGAGAGGTTGCGGCTCAAGCAAACAATACCATATGTGGAGTGGGTGTGGCATACAATGCTAAGATAGGAGGTAACACATTCTATCATTAGGCGTCTCTCGGTTGGTTACACAGTGCCCACGTGACCAGCAAGAGCGACGCGTGAAAT